TTCCCGTTCTCCGGCCACCGCTTGACAAGGGCGAAGTGGCGGTCGTCGACTCTCCTAACGCCGCTGGCTCCTTTTCGGCCCCCCTCCACGCAAACAAAGCCTCTGGCGGTGCGAAAACGAGACTGTCTCTGTTGACAGTTCTCGTTCCTCGACCTCCAGCAAAAGCTTGCCGTTTCAGGAAAGCACAGTTCGAGAGAAGGGCATCGATCGACTCCGAACCGGAATGGTCTAGAAGCCCCAAGATTTTTTTTTTCTTTTCTTTTTTTTTTCTTTTTCTTTTTTTTTCTTTTCCTCCTTTTCTCTTTTCCCTTCTTCTTCCTTGCGCCAGCGCCAGGTGCGCGACACCCCTCCCCCTCCCTTTCTTTTTCCGACCATCCGAGACCATCGCCAACCTCGTTGTCGCCTCCTCACTGCAGCAGCCCTCGCCTCCCTTCCTCTCTCTCTCCTTTCGTTTCTGGCGTACTACACTCACAGCAGACTTGTGAGTTTGTGATCGGAAATCGCGTCGCCTCTTTAGCTCAACTCTCCGGCGATCGATCGACTCCAGCTTCATCCCCATCGACGGTGTAGCTCCGCTCTCCCCTTCTCCATCGTCGGTTCACCTACTGGTGCAGCAAATCGCAAGGAGTTGCGATATCATTCTTCGACAGGGACAGTGGCATTTCTTTTCTTTCTTGCACTTTTCCGACATTTTCGCAACTGGGTAAGCAATTTCCAACCTTTCTCTTAGTAAGGTAAGTTGATTAGTGAATTTGCCAGCCTGTGAGCTATGAGATTAAACTGGAATTTAGGAATTTTATTTTTAATTATTCCTTCAAATTATTGCTTGATAGTGTACATATGAGGTAGTAGGTCTAATATTTGCAACAGATTGGTTAGTTGGTGTGCAATTTAAGATTTTAGCGTAGAAAAACTACGAATCTGTGTAATGGCAGCAAATATATTAAATTGTGGTAGAAAGACAAATATGGATGAGGAAGTGTTATGAATGAGGAAGTGTATTTTTTTTAATTTCCAGGTCGATAGATATTCATCAATGCTTATTCATATTCAATAGATGATGGTTCATGGATCATTAAATGGAATTTCGAGATCTAAATTAATAACAAGGAAATGGAAGAGTTTATAAATTATAATTGCATATAATTATTAAAGGTGTATATATATATATATATATATATAGTTACAGTAGAAGGATATAAAAGTTAAGCCAATATAAATTTTCAATTGTTTATCTACTTAGTTATTTGCTTAACCTTATAAAGTAAAGTTAAAATTTTGTATTGGTGATTAATTATTGATGTTGTTAGTTGGATGATACGAGATACTTAGAACATAATGTGTAAAGTTGATTATTATTGATGTTGTTAGTTGGATTTGATTACAAAGGAGACTTTTAGAACATAATGTGTAAATTTGAACTAGAGTAAAAACTTCTTGTTCTAACATAATGTGGTAATCTGAGGTTAAGCTTGAAGCCTTTACATGTGCCTTAGGTACCAATGAAAAGATAGGATAAGAATTTAATCGTGGAAAGTTAATTATGCACATATGCTTGTATTATACATACATATTGTATCCAAATGACTGATAAATTGATGTTATTTTTAGAATATGAATAAGCTCATGTAATTTGTTATGGATGTTAAATGGCGATAATGTCATTTAAAGGCGGACGGTTATCTTGATTTGATTTGATTGCCCGGCGATGGGCTGGATGTGTGTGAATATATATATTTATTGCTGATATTTAAAACAGGTAGATAGTCCTATTTTTAGGGAAGATGCCATGCCGAAAATTTCAATAGGAACCTAGAACTAGTTTTAATTAATGACATAATTAAATAGTTCATTTAGAATTAATTCTATTAACTTGGTACGTTAAAATAAATAAGTTGCTCTGAATTATTTATTATATCCATCTAGTGCTCCTCCAGGACAACATCAGAGCTAGAACTTCGCTCTCCATCACTGTGAGTAATAATAAATAATGCAGACCAACATGCATTTGCATAGCATTTTTGTTACAAATCTTATATATTTTTATATTAAACTCATATGCATTTTATATTGTATAATTACGTATTTGGATGAATTTGGTGCAATACGTTGATAGAATTGTTTGAATGATTGTGCTGTGCATATATTGTGATTTGTTTGTGTGGAATTGGGATGAAGTAGGTCACCATGGGACTGTGAGACCGTACCGTTATATGGATCCAATATGATTTTACCGTTAGCCGGGTAAATGGGAGATCGGCGCCCCCGTGTGCACCTACCGTTACCGTTACCGTTAACCACGGGTTGGCTTCTCGTCGTTGCCGCACCGGACAGTCTAGATTTGATGCAGCCCGCAAGGGTTGGCCTCCTTGTTGTGAGCGCTTGATTGGATTCTAGATTGGATGGAGACCACCGGGATTGCCTCCTTGTTGGTATGGAAAAGAAAGAGAGAATGGAAAAAACAAATGAGAGGGCTGGTCAAGTTGAGGATTAGACCAGAGTCGGCCGGTATGGGGGATCGGCTTCCCTGGTGCACACGTGAGAGGATGAGCCATGTGGGAGGACGGCTCATCGGGGGTTCGGTGACTCCACTGACTAATTTCCACGTGATGTGATTACATGAAGATGTTATGATTGTGAGTGCTGGTGATATGTCATTTGCGTGGCTGGTTGCTTGAGCATATAACTAGTCGGATGACTAGATTGATTTATTTACATGTGTGTGACTGCGTGTGTTGTGCAATATTTAATACTCATTAGAAAATTCACATGTCTTGTTTAAATTTTTCAGGAAGTAAGTTGCTCTTTAATTCGGTTTAAGATATGTTTCTTCGCCGCAGGGCTAGTAAGAAGTTTTCCTGGTTCCATAATTATTCTTCGCCGCAGGGCTAGTAAGAAGTTTTCCTGGTTCCATAATTATTTTGCTATGTAACTATATGTATAAGAAGCTATGTATAACAACAGTTAGTCACTCCGCAGTTGTAGAATTTACATACATCTAGTAGTGTAGTAATACAGATGAAGTAATTCTGTTAGGCCATATTAAAAATGTGTTGTATTGTAAATAAGGCTCGAACTGTGGAATGTTGAAGATGATAAATTTGGGCCAAGGTATAATAAAATTTTGAGATATATTTTTCATGTTAATATAGGCTCAATATTTGAAATTCATATTGAGATAATAGATTTTAGTGATTCAGGCTTACTACGGGCCTCGGGGGCCTTAAGCTTACCCCTAGTGCCGGTCCGGCCCATGTAACGTTTAATTAATAGAATATATTAGAGTCATATTTAAACACTATAACTATATTAGAGTTTGAGTTAGATATAGATTCATGAAAAAAATACAAATAATTTTTATTATTCAACTATCAAATATTAATATGCAACAATAATAAAGAAAAAAAGCAAGTAGAAAATGCAAAATACAAAATACAATAGTCATCTATAATTAGTTAAACAGCCATAAAACCAAATGCTCAGTTAAATTATTATTATTATTATTATTAATATTTTAGACAGAAACCCAATACTAGAAATCTGAAGAACATGTTAAAATTAAATACAAAAAAGGAAGACAAATAATACTGACTTTTAGTTGGGTGAGAGGAGGCAATATCTTCGAGGGTAGATGACAATAAGCGAAGTGGCAGACTCTTTGAGAGGCGGGACAGAAGTTTCAGTTGCTGAAGCATGTTGGTGATTTTGGGCTATCTCGGCTTGGTTTCTTTCTGCCATGATGCTCTCATTACAATGCCTCCGACGCAAGAAAGATGAGTTAAAGGTATATTTGTTAAAAATATACAAAAAAAAAAAAAAAAGCCAAAAAAAAAAAAAAAACCAGTACACTTATAAAACACATCAAACAGTAGCCTACAAATAATTATTAAAGAACAACTATAATAAAAAAAATATTATCAAATAATAGTGAAAACGAAGATCAATAACGTACACTACAAAAAAAACGCCAAATCGGTCGCAAAATGGCAAAAATCGGTCACTAATTTACTTTAGCGACCGATTTGCGACCGACAAGTGTCGGTCGCAAATTAGAGACCGATAAAATCGGTCGCAAACGTGAATAAGCGGTCGCAATTTTTGGTCGCGGTTTAATTGGAAAATCAGTCGCAAATTTGGTCGCAGAAAGTTTACATGCAACCCTGCAATCATTGAGTTCCAAGAAACAATATTACGAACTTGTAAACTCTCAAACACATTCCAAGCTTCATCTCTATTACTGCTATCATAAAATTTACTATACATGGAAATAAGTGCATTTCCTATATAAACACTAGAATCTAAACCCATTTTCATAGCAAGAGCATGCACTTGCGCACCATATTGATAGTCACAACATGCAAGCACACTTGTAAACGCAAATTCATTTGGTTGGCAATTCATTAACATCTCAGTAAACAAAACAAAGCAATTATAGGCTTGCCCCTGTTGAGCATACCCAGAAATGAGAGCTGTCCAAGAGACAACATTTCTTTCAGGCATTTCATCGAATAGCTGGTGTGCGTAATTTCATCGAATAGCTGGTGTGCGTAATCCAAATCCCCGCATTTCGCATACATTTCTTTCAGGCATTTCATCGAATAGCTGGTGTGCGTAATCCAAATCCCCGCATTTCGCATACATATTGATTAGATGGTTTGTCACAAACAATCCTAACGGATAGTTATGATTAGTGGAAAGCATGTGCTGGTGTAAGAGTATGCCTTCTTGAATGATTATTATTTCTATGGCTCAGCACTTGTGATTAATGATTATTTTTTTAATTTTAATTTTCCGGAAAAAAAAATGTGATCTCACCTAGAATTATATTGCATCTTCTTCTACTGTTTGTAAACGCAAGTATGATGTGTTTCTTAGCTTCAGAGGTGAGGATACTCGTGATAATTTTACTAGTCATCTCTATGATGCTTTCTGTTGCAAAAAAGTCAAGACCTTCGTAGACAATGACCTTCAAAGAGGGGAAGAAATAAATAACTCCAGCCCTTTTGAGAATGATTGAAGAATCGATGATTTCTGTAATCATTTTCTCAAAAAACTATGCATCTTCTCCATGGTGCTTGGATGAAATGTCCAAAATTATTGAATGCAAAGATAATTATGGACAGGTAGTTTTGCCAGTTTTCTATCATATAGATCCATCTCTTTTACAAGAACAAAGCGGGAGTTTTGCAGATGCATTTACTCATGTTGATAAGAATTTTAAGGAGAAAATGGAAGAAGTGCCAAGGTGGAGGGTTGACTTGATGAAAGCGGCTAGTTTATCGGGATTTGATTCTCAGGTGATCAGGTATGTGCATATTAATAATCTGCTTAAATTTTCTAATCTTTAATAAAACAAAATGAAAACGGTATAAATTATGTACTTAAGAGTTGGAAGGTTGGACAGAGTTGAACTTTTTCTCCTTTGTGAATTTTGTTGTCTTGTTTGAAAATGCAGCAAGACAACTTATTTTATAGATGTTAGCAAGCGACATCAGGTTAGAAAATTTTCCTCTCTAGATTTTTGTACAAGTTCTGGATGCACATCCTCTTTGCTGAATACCAACTAACAAACACACACAGTTTTCCCAAGTTATCTAATAACTTATATGAGATTTGTTGCTGCAAGGTGATACCTCTACACTTTAATCCTCTCACTCCTGAGCAGGTTTTCTTTTCTCGAAATAGCATGTCTAGTAACGACTTTTAGTAGACAACAATCTAATTTGTTCTTGTAAAAGAGATGGATCTAATTTGTAGAAAAAGTAGATCATTTGTGTTAATCTAACTTCTTATAGACTTCCTCCCATTGTTGCAGACAATGATAAAAAGGAAAATGATGATTTATGAAAACTCTTATCAATTCCTTTGTTTCCTTCTCACATGTTACTACCACTTGTTCTTTATGTTCTGTAGGACCTGAGGCCAAGCTTGTGAATGATATTGTGAAACATATTATGAAGAAGTTGAATCATGCATCTCTAAATATTCAAAGGGCCTGGTTGGAATAGACTCTCACATTGAACAATTAAAAGTTTGTTATGCTTTGGGTCACCAGATGTTCGGATTGTGGGAATTTGGGGTATGGGCAGCATAGGTAAGACGACTATTGCTGAAGCAATTTTCAATACTCTTTCAAGTCAATATGAAGGCTGCTGCTTTCTAAAAAATATTAAGGAAGTGTCAAAAAGATGTGGGCTAGATTTTTTAAAACAAAAACTATTACTTGAAATATTAGAGGGAGAAAATCTAAATATTTTATCTCCCAACATGGGATCCATTTTCAATGAGGACGGGCTCCAGTGCACAAAGGCTTTTCTTGTTCTTGATGATGTGGAAGATGTAAATCAATTAGACTCCCTAATTAGAAGATCTGATCTTGGTTTGGGATGCAGAGTTATTGTGACCTCTAGAGATAGGCAGGTTCTTAAGAATATAGTTGATGATGTATATGAATTTGAGGGATTAAATGATGATGAAGCTCTTCAGTTGTTCAGTTTGTATGCTTTTAAGAAAAACTATCCCCCGAAAGACAGGATAGACTTATCAAACTATCCCCCGATTGGCACTAAAATGAGATCTCTCAAGACAATCAACCTTTCTGGTTGCTCCAATTTTAGGGATGTCCAAAGTTTGCAGAGAACGTAAATTATTTAAATATGAATGAGACTGCCATAGAAGAATTCCCAAATCAATTGGGAATCTCAGTGGACTCGTTACATTGAATCTCAAGGACTGTAAACAACTTAGGAATCTTCCAGAAAGTGTGCAAAGGTTAAAATCTCTTTTGATTATTGATCTCTCTGGCTGCTCAAACATCACTAGGTGCAAAGGTTAAAATCTCTTTTGATTATTGATCTCTCTGGCTGCTCAAACATCACTAGGCTTCCAGATATGTCAATGGATATGAAATACTTGCACTTAAGTGAAACTGCAATAGAAGAACTTCCGTTTTTAATTGGCCGTCTCACCAGACTCTTTTGTTTGGATTTAAAGAACTGCAAAAGGCTTAAGAAGATTCCTTTTAAAATTTCTAATTTGGCATCTCTTGAAAATCTTATTCTCTCTGGATGCTCAAACATCACCCAGTTTCCAGATGTTTCTTTGGATTTAAAGAACTGCAAAAGGCTTAAGAAGATTCCTTTTAAAATTTCTAATTTGGCATCTCTTGAAAATCTTATTCTCTCTGGATGCTCAAACATCACCCAGTTTCCAGATGTTTCGAGGACTATAAAGAAATTAATTTTAGACAAGACAGCAATAGAAGAAATTCCCTCATCAGTTCAGTATTTATGTGAACTTGAGGAATTGAGTATGCGACAGTGCACAAGTTTTCGAATTCTTCCTAGCAGTATTTGCAAGTTGAAATCTTTGCAAAAGCTTAATCTGTCAGGTTGTTCCATGTTTCAGTGTTTTCCAGAAGTTTCAGAGGTTATGGAATCATTGAGGTATGTTTATTTAGATGGAACAGCCATTAAAAAGCTACCCTCACCTATTGAAAATCTAAAAATCTAAAGGGGCTATCGAGCTTGGAAGTGAGAAACTGCGAAAATCTTTTCATATTGCCAGAGATGATCTCAGGTATTGAATATTTTATCAACATGCCTGACAGAGGAGTAGATATTCAATATTTACGGAAGCTATATCTAACCAGCTGCAGTTCGTTGAACATGCCTTATAGCATTGGTTGCTTATTCTCACTTGAAGCATTAGATCTAAGTGGAAACAATTTTAGGAAGATACCTGAAAGTATTAATAAGCTCTTTGAGCTGCAATACCTTGGTTTAAGAAATTGCCAGAATTTAGTATCGTTACCAGATCTTCCACCGCGACTGGCAACATTAGATGCACACAATTGCATTTCACTGATTAAAGTATCATTTGATTCAACTGGAGTAAAAGGAAATATTTTTGAATTCTTTTTCACTAACTGTGACATGTTGGCCTCTGGTGCACGGCACAACATAATGGAATATGCCCTCACAAAATTTATGCGCTATGCAAAAAGACTGAACAACCAGGTCTCTTTCCCCTTTCATCCTCTGATTCTTTTTAACTGATAATTCCAATCTTAATGGTCATGATTCTCATGTTGCAGATTCCTTCTTTACTAGCAGGAGAATCTAGTTTTTGCATTCGTGGACGTAGAATCCCAAGGTGGTTTGGCCATCAAAGTGAAGGATTTTCTACTTCAATGCAGCTAGCTTCACAGTGGGCTAATATCAAGTTCCTGGGTTTCACTCTGTGTGTTGTTATTAAATTCAACAACTTTTTTCTGGGCAACAATGGTGTCCAGATTAGGTGTCAATATCACTTCAAAAATGAGTACAGAGATTGCAGTGATCTCCATTCTTATTTTGGTGGTTGGTATGGTAAAGGAACTCTCATTGTGTTAGAGTAAATTCCCTTGGTGCTGTGATGCTAAGTGCTGTCAGCTTAGCTTTCTTATTTCTTATGAATTGTTTTTTGTATGAAAGCTCTAGAATATTTGAATGTTGAATGAATTTGTGGTAGAGCTTAAATTTAGCCACAAACAAAGAGACAAACTTCTTTAAATCAAGGGAAGTTAGTATTGACTTCTTCGTGGAAAGCTAGTGTAAGAGAGAAAAACGTGAAAGCTGGACTTTGAGAGGAGAGAGCTTTATAAGAATATTAATTTACGTAGAAAAAATAAAGAAGAAAAGAAAAAAGAAGATTTTTATTTGAATCAACTTTGTTTTTACTTACTTAAACTCTGGTATATTGCTTTCGTTGTTTTATCTCCTCCTCTCAATCCCCGCAACACATTACTTCTAATTCTAGATACATTAATGGAAAATTTCGGAGGCAATATCCCATGTTCTTTGGATATGATCCATGTGTGGATCTTACAAAAGATGATCATTTCAGTAAATACAGAGAGGTAGTAGTTGAATTCTATCCTGAAGATATGGAAGGCAATCCTTTTCACTGTTGCAAAGTGATGAATTGTGGTGTACGTATACTGTATCTGAAGAAGAGATATTATACCGATGTCCTTTCATTGATCAACGAATAGAGGAAGCAGTGTCCAAAATTGAAGTTGCGTATCTTCAAGGAGGTCGAACAAGTGTGCTCAGTAAAATTCGCCCCTTGGGAGTTTTGATGTGGTTGATGAGGAAGATACAAACATTGTTGCCTCAGAAATGTATAACAGACGTCCAGTTAGTTATACTTGCTCCATTTCCAACGAGGGAAGAGTTTGAAGCTGTTGCCAAAAGAGTTACGAAATAAAAACGTGGACTTCCATCATGTTTTTTAAAAAGTATGTTTCATGTATTTCAGTGAATCAAATTAAATATTTGATAACTCAACATTTTGGCCATTTACGTTTTTTCTCTTTCAATCGAATTAACTGAATTAATTGAATTTAACTGAATTATATATTCAACAATGTTAAAACTAAGCGAATTAATTTTTTCATTAATTGTACCAAAAGAAAAGAAAATGGAAACTGAATTAACTGATCGATATTTACTGAAATATCTCATTAACCGATTTTAATTGAATTAACCCTAGCCTTTTAACAAAATTAACATTTCTAATTCTAAATAAATATTGAAAAATCCCGTTTTATTCCTCAATTAATTTGATTAACATGGTTAGATTTAATTTTAACTAAATCATAACTGATCATTGAATAAATTTAAATTTATTAATTGAACAGAAAACTGATTTCCAATTCACCGAATTAAATTGGCAAAACCATTTGCTCATCTCTAGCGACTACCACTTTGAATATAGTCTTTAAAGATTTAATTATATCTGGAGTTTATCTTAAAAATAAAAAATAAAAAAAAAACATGAATCTCCAAAATATTAGTGGAAGCTGATTACGACTTTTACTGAAAGGAATAAAAACATTAAATTATTATACAGTTCTAAACACAATAATAAGTCAATACATTTTGAAACCAGAACCATGACAAATTCTTTGCTTCGTTGTCTAGTCGAGTTGTTCTGTGACTCTGTCATTTCCTAAAAATGCTCTCTTTTCAACTTTGTAGGGTAAGATATGCTAAAAGTAATTTAATAATAGTAGTTTTCTTTTTCCAATTTTGTAGGGTAATATTTTCTTATTTAGTTTGAAAAGTATTTGTAAGCTAAAAGTAATTTAATAATAGTAGTTTTCTTTTTCCAATTTTGTAGGGTAATATTTTCTTATTTAGTTTGAAAAGTATTTGTAAGTAATATTCTATACAAAGACTATAAAATACCCTTCTCATTTAAAATTTTTTTAATATAATATATTAAAATTTCATTAAAAACTTCAAATCAGTACAAATAATACAGGGAGAACATGACCCTCTCCTAAAGACTAGACATAGAACAAAATAATTATTTTTCGCTGATTTAATAAGAAATTCTAATATCACAGAGTATATCCCAGAGTCTGTCCAATGCCATATAAGGATGTCGTCCTGAACATTTGTAGCTAAAGGGATAGAAGTAATAATTTCAGCAATAGAGGGGTGGAAAAGATCTTGTATCAGTGGCAAATTCCAAGCACGCGCCCCATTTGCCAAAATAAGATCAGAAACCCGTATATGCTCTATGTGACATCCTACCGAGTCGAGTTAAGTCGAGTTGAACCAAACCCGGTTGGGGTAGAAAAGGGTTTTTAAGTGGACTTACTTGAGTGAGACAAAAAGATCAAGGTATAAAGAGTAGGACTTATTTGCAAAAAAAATAAAAATAAAGTTGAGGTATTAAAATGTAACATGTCGAAACTGTAGGTCTTATTTGGTACTTGTACCATACAATTAAAGAGACAGTTGGGAAGTATACGAGACTTCCATTTCAATTTGCTTTCTTCATTTTTCATTTTCTTCATCTTCATCTTCAGGGGGCCCATTTCATTTTGTAAACTAGTATCATGTTTTGTAAATATAAATTACATTATTATTGTAAACAACATCAGCATGCTATTATATCCAATATACATTATGAGTTCAGCATGACAGGACATTAAGTCAACCAGTTTGTAACGTCTCGACTCAGTTTATTCGAGTTGCGGGTGGACCGGGAAGGG